GCTAATACTTTTCTACTTTTACTTGAGTAACATAAACAATGCAGGACTTTTACTTGTAACTGAGTACTCATTTTACTCTGGTATTTCTACTTGTACAAAAGTGCATTTTGGATGATAGGACCCCTTTAAGTACAAGATCTGAGTACTTCTCCCACCTCCGATATAGTATCATCTTATCTAGTTTTCACCTGTTCATTGTAGATGGAGCTGTATTTGCAGAGGTGTTTGTCTTTGCAGCCAGCCCAGCCCAACAGAATCACAACTGGCTCCTTTGTCCCCTGCCAGTATCTCTCTGAAATAGAAAAAAAGACGATAAAAATCACGAAAAGCTGCCACAGCTAGCAGCGCTAAAGGAAGCTACCAAGCTAAGCTAACAGCCGAACATAATTCGATGTATTACGCCTTCCTTGTAAGACAAAAGTTAGCATGTACGCTAAGCTAACTGAGGCATGAACGCACAGTACAATGAAATGATGCTCACCTGATGTCGCCGCATCTGGAAACACGATATTGTAATCTATTTCATCGTCTGCCATTTCTGTATGACAAAGTATCAACTGTTGTTCTCTAACGGTAACGGGCGGTTCATTTGGTTATTGTAAAATGGCTGATAAAAAAAAGCTACAGATAGCGAAGACAGCGTGTAATAAATTAGACACACTGCAGCAGACAGGTTGCTGGACTGTGATTATTAAACGGCCCCATTTCTTCTTCTTTGTGCAGTAAAAGGTTGGATGGCATTCAGCTAACATTGCAATAGCGCCACCTCTGTATACGCTTCAAAACAACATGGCTTCCAGATACAGTAGTTCACCAACAAATCAGAACAGGCTAAAGACAGGAAAAAACAGTGTTGGAAGAAGTACTGAGATATTTTACTTAAAAAGTACAACTAATATGACCTTTAAATACTCTATTATAAGTCCTGATTTCAACTTAACTTAAGTTAAAGTAAAAAAGTACAAGCAGATGCTTGTACTTTTTGTAGGACTTTAAGTACATTTTGATCAAAATGTACTTAAAGTACAACAATGACTAATTATTCACAACTACCATTTCAGAATAATATGATGTACACAGTATATTATCAGCCAAATGTGCTTCAAGTGCTGTGCACAAAGGATCGTTTCATAGCAAATCATGACTCTTTGGGAAAAGCAAGTCATGATATCCAGCCATAAAGCTATAGAGTGCATATGGAAGAAAGGGTGATCAGTTGTTTCAATATATTCACAAGAAACAAAATCATTTGTCACTTTTCCAAAATAGTGTCATATCAAATCACTGGATGGATACATTTACTAAGGAGCTATAGGGAATTTTAAATATCTAGTTTGTAACATGAATAAACACACAAACACTATAGGCTACTGTCAGGAGAGCACTGTTCTCTACACAAACTAACCATAGGATTTGTAATTCAAGTAAGTATTAATAAGAGATACAAATTAAATAACTCAAAACCGTTTATTAAGGACACTTACTAACAATTATAAATGCAGATAAAATGACTTGTTAGATAGTTAGAGACACATGATCTGATTGATGCAGATAATGAAACATTTATGTAAAACAGTGCAGAGGCTTAGTACACAGTAAAAGAGCACATTGGACGTCGTTTTAGGGGGCGTTGTTGGAAAAGAAAGGCACTGAAGTCTCGGGTGGAGCGTCTCTGCAATCTTTGGACTTCAATCAATCGGCTTGCGTAGAAAGTGCTGGTGGTTGCTGAGATAGGGAGAGGCATTTTTAGTTCTGGCGATGAGCAGGAGGGGTGGTGAACGTGCATGATAAGGAGGAGGAAGCATCTCTGGATCTGGAAGTCCAACAAGGCCTGGAGAAAACACAAAGAAAAGGTGTTGCATTAAAATAGCATTCATCAGCAAACTTCCATCAAAAATCCCATACCTCATATCTCATACTGCTATACTGTACGTACAAGTGGGAGGAAGAGGAGCTCTTTCTGTTTCATAAAGGCATCATCACAATCAGTCAGGTTCATGTTGAGGAGTGTGAGCTCAGTCTTTCACACAACGTATGGAAACACCTGTGAGAAGAAGAAGTGAACAGAATGTAAACAGAGAGCCAGCTTTAATCTGCGCAGGTATGCTATTTTTAAACAGATATCTTTTTCCATGTTTACTCAAAGATCATATCTATCAGTGTTTCTCTGGTCCTTGCTGTTCCACTTAGATCAAACCATGGCAGTAGGATAACATCTGTGCAGGTTTCCTTATAGAGGCTGCAGGAGAAACTGGTGGTGGTTGCTGAGATGGGGTGGTGGCGATGAGCAGGAGGGGTGGTGAAGGTGCAGGATGTGGAGGAGGAGGAGGAGGAGGAGGAGGAGGAGGAAGCATCTCTGGAACAGAACTGTTGTAGAAGGAGTTGTCCTCAGGGCCCTGAAGCAGCTCCTGGTAGATCTCGTAGTGTAACAACGTGTCGTTATCTACTTATTTTGCACTAAGGGCTAAAAGTTAAATGTAGACTGGTTCTTCCTTAAAATAGTCACATTTTCTACAGTTATCGCACAAATAATCCAGAAATCAAAAATGTGTCATAAATATTACTTAAAACGTTCAATAAATATTCTCTACTGTCTTAATCCCCATATGACGACACAAGTTCCAATTAATACAACAATAAAATACTAAAAATATATAAAAATATCAAATCATATAAAACAACTTCCATTCAGTCATTAATGCTTCACCGTGACCTGACATAGACAGATTCATTGTATCTCCTAGATCGAAGTTCACAAACCAAATTCATAATCATTTATTCAAATTCATAAATCACAATTCTTATTCATAAATCACAATTTTCAATCATAATCACTCTATTTCAAATTGAAAGGTAACTAGATACATAGAGTGGTGACTTTAACAGAAGGAGACTTAGTCAAGGACGAGGAGACAATGTCAGGAAGAATTAGGTCGAAGTTCGGAGTGTCGTTGTCAATAGTGGACGGTCTGGTGGACGAGTGGGAGGTGGGAGGTGGGACAATGAAGATTGGAAGGTGAGTCTGTTGTGTTAGTCGGAACTCGACGTCGGACACTCTACTTTTTGAGGAGAGGGTGGAGGTGGGAGGACAGTCGTTGCGACCGTCGGTAGAGGAGGTTGACGTGTAGAGACAACCTTATCGACTACCGAATTTGAGGTAGATTGTCGGAGAGTAATTCCTTTGGACGTGCTAGCAATGAGGATGACGGTACACCTCTGAGACTCACCTTGTCGTTCCTGGTCTCTTTGTGTACGTCTATATCAGGAAGTCAATTATAAGGTTTTTATAAAGACACCATAATTTCGACCGAGGAGACAAATGTAAGACAAGTGAACAAGAAGAAGAGTGTCCACAAAGGTATTACACCACACTTTTCTGCTCGAGTGGAGGAGTTGTACTTGGACTGAACTGACACTACTATGGAAGTACCTATTGCTCTCCTCGAGGAGAGGGAGGGTTCAACATGCATGTTCAGTATCGTCATACTCTAAAGAATTGTTGTTGTGGAGATCACATAAACCCCTAAAAATTGACCTTCAAGCCACTAGAGTAATATAAACTTACTTTGTGGAATGNCTTTATAAAGTCAGGCAACACTAACCAGGCTTCGTGTGATTCTGTTTATTTGCACCTTACTTTGACCATCTGTTTGCTGTTATTGATCATTGTGGAGAGCAGGCAGACGTTTTGTTTTGTATTATAGCAGCTATCAGATGGAATCAATACATGGGCTGCACAGGTTGTCGTGTCCGACTATCACAAGTAGAATCATAATGAAAAATACGCCGGTAAAATGTGCCTGTAGAAAACGGCTTATGCCATAGCAAGTAGTCAGTTTACCTTTGGTTGCTACCCATTTTATACCAGAGACACTTTAATAACAGCGTTGTGATGCCAAACAGCGTCAATTCAGACTGACACACATACTTAAGGGGAATTGGGGATATGTACCAGCTGCTTGTGTGACAGTCAGACAGTGAATACTTTAGAGCGGCCGCTGCAGTGTGAGCTAACGGGAGAATAAACTCCCGTGGAATAGCAGCCAGCACTGCAGCGGTCGGTAAATGCCGCTGAAACACATTAATAAACAATGAACCACGGCACTCTGGAGAAAAGTATAAGCTTGGAGAAGTCGTTATTTTATTTAATCTGACTTCGTGTGATTAAAAGCAACACGATCATCGACCCGACGCAGTCCCCCGTTGTTGTGAGCGCCGTTGGGGAGCAAATCAGCGATGTAAACGGTGACGTCATGACGCAGCAGCGGCTGCACCACACCAGTCGGGCTCTGGGCGGTGTGAACAGAGCGGGAGCAGAAAAGGGAAACCGGAGCTGAACCAGAAAAGCTCTAGCTCGGAGCTAGAAAGGGAAAAGCGCTGGTGTGAAAGCCGCATATGTCTCTTCCGTTCTCTCTCCTCTGCACTAAAGGAGAAAACCGGAGAACATTACAACAGCTGCTCTTTCCCTCCCCATTATAAAGTGGGAGAACATCTTCAAATCAGAGTCCCTCTCTTTCTTCTTTTCTCTCCCTGACAGAATGACAAAGTTAATCTCCTTATCCGTTTGTTTGACAGCCTTTAAGCGAACACTTTCTCATCGTCACCCCCCCTCCTCCCCTGTTTCCCCTATCACTGCATCTCTCCTCTACTGTCGAGTGGACGTGTGAGAAAAGAACAGTTGGCTAATGCATTTTGGCATTACACTGACAGTGTAACTAGATCCTCCCTCTCCCCCTTCCTCCTCTCCCATCGACATATCTGCTCCCATGATCCCATCTCAGTACTTTACCTCAAGCATTGCAGTGGTACTTGGGCTGAACCCGATGTGACAAAAATAATAATAAAACCTTTAAGCTGTGTCCCATGCAACAAATCATTGTGTGTGTGTGTGTGTGTGTGTGTGTGTGTGTGTGTGTGTGTGTGTGTGTGTGTGTGTGTGTGTGTGTGTGTGTGTGTGTGTGTGTGTGTGTGTGTGTGTGTGTGTGATAAAGTGCTCTCACCAGCAGGGAGTAGAAGACTTTGAATCCCGGCTTTGCAACAAAGTAATCGTCAGACTTGAAGGTGACTCTGAGCATGTTGGTTTTGGAGTTGAGAGTAGGCGGTGCCTTCTGTCCACACCAGCGACCCCAAATTATAGTGCTGGTCTCTGATTGGTCCTCCACTTCAACAAAGTCATACCTGGAGCGAAAGATGGTGATGGAGAAGAAGATGAATGTGTGGCAGGGAAGAGCAAAAGATGGATGATGAAAATGTCACATCGCAACAAAAAGAAAAGGTTAAACATGAAGGTGTCTTCACCAATAAAGGAATTAACATTGAGGGAAATTAATTGGCTTATAAACAGGGGGCTTATTTTTGTACCTTTTATCCTTTTGGAAAATAAAATACTGTGACATTTAGGAATTCAGTGGACATTAGAAAAACAAAAATATGCACTACGAAATAAGACCCACTTTGTTAAACTAATTTCCCTCAAAGTTATTGCGTTCAGCTCATTCTGACACTGCTAAGCACAATTGATGTTGATTGTACTGTCTTTGATACTTCAACTATGGTAATCAAAATGTTAAATCACTAAAAGCCACCTTGCCAAACTTCAGGACAACAATCCTTTTGTAGGAAAGGTTGTGAGAAAAACTTTCCAGCAATCAATGCTACAGTCAATTAGTGCAACACACACACACACACACACACACACACACACACACACACACACACACACACACACACACACACACACACACACACACACACACACACACACACACACACACACACACACGCACACGCACACACAAGATTTCAAAAACCGGGTAAGGCTAACCCTTTCCAAATTCTCCCCCCTGCTGCTCCCTATTGTCTTTTCAGCAAAGTGCTTACAAAGAAGGCTGAGTTGCATATGGGGATTAAAAAGTCTATTTCCTACCCTCAAACCTCAAGGACAAACTTCTTCCTGCCAAGAAAGCAAACTTCAACTATCCATCCATTCCCAACACCTTCATTATATTAGTTCCCCTTACATCCTTAGCTGGTGCACTAATGTGAATACATCATCAGATCATTTTTACATATTTTATTGATGTTGCTGTTGTTGTTGTACAGCCTTTCAACTCGAGATTTCTGCTCCATAAACTTTTCCTGTTATCTTCCAAACAGTCCAATCCATCATATCTTTACTCACACTCTGGATCATTAGTTACTTTCATCTGACTTTCCTCCTTTACAGCAGCTTGTAATTCATCAATACTTGCTCTTCTTTAGTACCTGTATCCTTCTAACTTCCACTCAGGTATTGTCCGTGTCTCATTCTGTCTGTTTTGCTACTAAGCTCGAATCTACTGAGATCATCCCTCCCTCCATCCTGTGTCTTACCTGCAGACCTCATTCTCAGCCTCCTCCAGTCCGAAGTGTCCGTCGAACTCCAGGTGTATGCGGCTCCCAGGTGGGGACAGCAGTTTCCATGACAACAGCAGATTGCGGGGGTAAGCGTTGGGGTAGCGTGGGCTGTAGATGGCTCCTCTCACCGGCGTCACTGTGATGTTTTCCTCTTTGCGGTAAAAGTCTGTGGTGAGGCGATTGCTGTCTGTTAGTGGTTACAACTTATCAGTTAGTTAGTCCAATTCTAAGTAAAAGCAATTCAAGCAAATTAGAATGCTACGGGCAAAAACAAGAATAAACGTATCGATAAGAGAGACAAAAACACAGACAGCACATTTCCTCAGGCACTTCTAGAGTTTCCTGCCTGATGTATAAAGACACACCTAACTAAATAGTTGTGCAAACATGCCTATTTACATTCCCTTTTCAGATTTAAATAAGAGGTTGATACAGCTCTTAGATACGGTATGTCCCCTCAATATGAACTTACAGCCATAATTCCTTTTAGCTTAACTGTGAGACTGGAAACGCCAAACCTGGCTCCGTCAGAAGGTAAACAGATCCTCATTAAACATCAGTTTGATGTTATGTACTGATAAGACAAACAAAATATAATGTGTTCATTCAAAACTTTATGAATGGTTCTTGGCTTTTTTTCTTCAATCTTTAGAGAGAGCAAAGGGATGAGCTATTCCTTTACCATTCTAGTCCATTCTAGCACGGTTTGTAGAAATAGTTATATTTGATAGCTGACAAAATAAATAAAACTTTCTTGATTCTAGGAAAGGGAGTTATATTTGAAATTATCATTGATTTTGTATTGTTGTGTTTTTTAAGAGTGTTTGTTTGTGTTTTTGTGTAACTGTGTCTAACAAGTCTGAACTTATCACACATTTGATTTTGATACCTCTTGTGTACAAGTAGAACATTTGTCCTGACTGGGGTACTAGTGAAAAGGTCAAGGTGTCAACGAGTATGGTCAGATTCATTTTATGATGATCAAGAATATCGACAGCAAATATGAGAGGAAATCTGGTCATGGACCAACATACCGTTTAAATAGGAATTAAGGATTAACTAAAACCTTGAGGAATAATTCTCTGGTGCCCAATAACCATGTCAAGTAATACATAGTCTTTAACAAAGGGAATATACTGTAGTGTGTAAGGTACAGTATGTACTATACAAGGAACATAGCACATAAAACATGGTGTGCTTTGTTTAAGGATGCTTAGAAGTGTGTGTAAATAACAGTGTCTGCCTATGTGCTCAAGTTTATTGCACTGCTGTACTGACACAGAGTATCTTTGCTGTTACTGTGCACAAAACACAGCATGTATTGTACCTTCCTACCTAACATCTGTTTTGAGATGCATTGCTGTACTGGCTACTATAAACTATAAACCTTTTTAAAGTCACGTTTTAAGTTCAATATTTTATCATTAGTCATGATGAACATCATAATCAACCAGATGTCAAATCATAATGGATCAACTCAATTCATAAACAGTTTTTATATTTAATAATCAATATATACATTTTCCTTTGCCTACTTTCTGTACATTAGAATTACACAACACATGTTATAGTTGAAGGTGAGGCTGTGTGCCGCAGTAGGCTGACAGGGCTGTATTTTCTGAGAGGTGTGTGGTTTTTGCAAAAAGAGCTGAATGCATAATCAAGCCACTTCAGCCTGCACCCCTGGGAGATGATGATGAAGCTTTGGCCCTTTCCTCCACCTCTTCACTGCAAACCCTTAATTCCTCCACCGGTCCTATCCCGTCTCTCCCCTTCTTCCTCTTTGCTTCTGTCAGTAATTCTGTCTCATCAGTCATTCCAGCAATTAACACTGTCCCTAAGTGTGTGTTTATGTTTGTTTGTGGGGAGAGAGAGATAGAGGGAGGGGGGTCTGTGTAAGAATGGGTGTGTGAGAGAGTGTGTGTATTTTCACCTATGAGCATTTATGCTTGTGTGAGAATGTCAAAATGCATGCATGTGCATTTCTGAGTGAGTGTGGGCTTTATTTGTAAAGGAATCCTCCCACTCTGATGATCAGAAGCCTGTGTGTGAAGGTTCATTCAGCTTATGTGTCAGGAACTTTAACCCACTAAGGTCAGTCTGTGTGTGTGTGTGTGTGTGTGTGTGTGTGTGTGTGTGTGTGTGTGTGTGTGTCAGCTTGAGTGTCGCATAGTACCTGCATATTTGTGGAAATGTTGTGTTCACATATTTATGTAACCATTATCAATTCTCTGTATATGGAGTGGGTGGATAATTTATCTGAAGTCAACATTGTATGAGTTTGTTTCCCAATGTGAATATTAAGAAATATGCATAGCACTTCTTATAAAAGCATGTTTAGTGTTAGAGATGCATCTTTATTTGAGATCTTGGGTAACATATAAGTGTATAACGCCATGTTGACACCCACACACATGCGTCTGAGGTGACTGCATCTTCTTACATTCAGACTCTATTGTTTCCACACACAACTATTGAAAAATAAAAGCCCACATGCAGCCACTGCAATCTCATCTCGAATCTATACAGTGTGCCACTGTGACTGATATAGCATAGCTACAACAACTGTCCAAATCCCCTAGTTTCAATGTTGAAAATCTGGGACTCCCTCAAAAAATACAGGAAAGCAGCAGTTGTTAGCAGTTATGTTCCCTGCACAAAATCAATAACCTCTGCCTTGTGTTCCCCAGAAATGCAAAGATGTTTTAATGTCAGGCAAACAGAAGTGGCTAATTCAATCCATGCATATCAAATGAGACATGCCTTTGACCTTCTCCAGGACAACAGAGAACATTAGCAGTGCCAGCATGCCACTGCGAAATGAGTGAGACAACTTCAAATTGTAAGAAAAAGAAACAAACAGCGAAACTCATCTCTGCCCCTCTAAAATGTCACATCCATTAATTTGGCTTTTTATTTTGAACTATGCTGCCCTTCTCTACACTACTGTCTTTTAACTCGTTGTGGAGTGTTCGTGAATGAGCCAATAAGATAATTGTTCTACTGAGTAAAAGGTCATATTAATTCATACTAATCCTGCTTTTAAAATTGCAGGATATTTATAATTGTACTGCTTCTGTAACGATTTCCCTGGATTGGGACAGCCAAAAGAGAATATATAATTGCTGTCACTTGCATTTGAATCAATTTGTTTCAGTGTTTCCTATCTCTGCCCTTGTAGCCTCTCTAATGACAAGTGTACCTGCAGCAAAGGAACAATAGACACATTTCTCTTTTGCATTTGTCTTTAAACATTTGTTGCATGTATTGTGATTTCCAGTGGAATAAGAGAGTTCTTTATTACAGTAAATTTGTGGAAGCCAGCTGTGGATTAACAGCCAAACTCCAACCATCCCGGGTCATCACATTTAATTTGGTTTGATTGCCTATGTTGGCCTAGCTCTTGCCAATTTAATTGTTTTGTCATGGACGCTAAACATGTAATATTTCCTGCTGGATGAGGGACACATCCAACTCCTCTTTCATTTATTTGTCCTTGGGAAGTTTTGTGGCATAATGATTAATGGTTTCATCTAATGGTTTGCTGATTGGATAAAAACAGCAGGTGGGCTTAAACTTTTTTACAAATCTTCTCGAAAATAAAAAAACATAACAAATTAACATGAGTTCAAACATTAACACAGGGTTGTGTGCATTGACATAGACCATGGCACATTTCTGGGAATGATAGATTCAATGAGGAAAAAATATGTCTCCATTACAATTTCATTCCAGAGAAATCAACAGCTTTGTGTCGGCTTTCATTATACCAACAAGTGCAATGATACTATTTTGGGTAAAATCTGATATTGAATCAGGTTTAGAGCAGAATCCCAAATCCAACACATACTTTGGAGGCACAGTGGGAGATGCTGTGCCGTTTGGAAAGAGACACATTACGTTTTTTCTGTTTGATTCTTTACTGCCCTATATTTGACTTGAACTGAAACAGAGACTAAACTGACTTATTGTTTGAGTGTATAAAGGTTTTCAAATTTGTATCGATTAAAAAGGGCAACATTCAAAAGCTTTCTTTACATTTTTCCAATTTTACGCACAATACAGCAGATTATCTTAAGCATACAGAAGAGTCAACCATAATAATAAGAAAAACAGTGGCATGTCCCTACAGTAACTGTGCATGTCACCTAAATGTGTGTTTCACAGCTGAAGGCCAGGAATTAGACAGCAGCGAAGATGGCAGCAGTACATGCCTGACAGTGCTTCACCAGGGAAGCTAGTTTCAGTGGATTATAGACTTAAGACAATTACTGACTGAAGAAAATCTTCAAAATAAAAAACATATTTGGAGTTTTTACATTTATGTTTTAAATGTCTCTAAAAGGCAGTAAGTGGAGAAAAGGCTAAGAATGCTATACTTTTTTAAGACATGTGAACACCATCATGTCAGCACTTCAACCTATGCCAGGCTTTATTCAGATCCAATTATATTTAATACAAAATAAAGAAAGTGATACTGTCCAACCTATTTCAATGCAGTGTGGGAACAGGGAGAATAACATATCTGAGCTCATGAGACGGTGTTATTACTGTTCTGGGAAGACATGTTCTTCCAGTAAATCATTTTGAAATATGGATCTAATTAAATATGTCTCTTTTTTTATACCCATCACTTCTTCTCTCTTTTTCATCTCTATTTAAAACCCTTCATGTTGTCAGTTACACACGATATGTTATAACATTAAATTAAATTGCTATTGTTTTTCCAAAAAGTAACTATCCCAGCTGCTCTGATGTGTGAGGTCTCAGCATCTGGTGCTTTCAATGGGAAATTGATAAAAACAAGTCTTACAAAATCTAGCTCAAGCTAATTTGATGCATTTTTGAATGGCTCATTGGTGTTTTACAACGTATTTCTTAAGTGTTTTTTTAAATAAATGCAATTATAATTTCATTTGTTTGGATAAAAAAAAAGTAGTAGGTGGCACATCTGCACGAATAATCAGAAATCTTTGGAAAAACGCAATACCACTGTTTATGAATGTACTGCTGCAACTTATTTCATTCTCTATGTTTGATCCTTCTTTTCCCTGATCGATTCATGGTCTTTTTTAATCCTTTGTAACCATTTTAGCATAAAAGGATATCAAATGTTTTCCATCTAAGCCACAAAACCTGTTTTAAACCAGTCGAATAACGCGGATCTGTTCTGAACAGAAAGTTCTG